TAAATGGGGTGATGAGCTTTGTCTCAAGGGAAACTAATTAAACAGATAGTCTTGTTTGTTTTTATCCTAATAAAAGGTTTGCTATTAACCTTCCTGAGGCAAATAAACCATCATTAAACCCTTAGTCCACTTTTACTCCTGGAATAACCAGTGCACATTCACTGTGCTAAAAGTCAGGGCAATGTGGGTTTCATCTCCACCTCAGAATTGAAACCATCCCTGTGCCCAGGCTGAAAACACTCCCTGCTCATGTAAATGAGAGCTCCTGGGAGCAGTTGGCAATAGCTTTTGGCAGCCTCCTTTCAGGAGTGGGGTATTATATTGTCTCTAGTTTTCTTTAATTTAATTTGTGCCTTCGGGGTTCTTGGTTAACATTTTTGAAGTACTTTAATCAGGAATCACAACTCAGGGTAGTTAGTTAACATTTGAAAGACCCTAATCAAGATTCTATACTCCAGTGGCAACCAGTGCATCAGATCTTGCTCTCTGAGTCTGCCCTAATGGGTGTATTACTTAGAATAAAAGATGTTAGAAGTAATTTTTTATGGTGAAAAGAAAGATATTTAAGATTTATAGTTGACCAAGTGCTTCCACTGGGACATGATTGGAGGATAAGGATTGGTGAGTCCAGCAACCTACCAGTCTAGGTCTAGAGCTTGATTTGTTTCTGTGCTTATAGCACTGGGAGGATTTCATCAACTCGCCTGGCCAGTCACTGCAGCATAGGTCTCTGCCAAATTCTGCCTGCTTCTCTACCCTGAGCTCACTGGACATGCACTCTGGCTGCACTCATTGTTTACATTTTTTGTCTACAGAGATATTACTCTCAATTTTGAGGCAGACTATTTTTTTAAAAATTTAACTTATATTTTATATATAATAGTGTTTTTTTAGTAGATTGGATATCTAAAGTATGAAGTTGTAATGACATTTTGATCAGAGGCAGAAGAATTATTTTTTATTAGTGGTAACTTTCTTATTATTTCCTGCTTGACAATATTGTCAGTATTCTGAGGCCAGGTTCCCATCTGTGGGGGCAGCATGGTGGGTATGTAATCCTGATGCTTTAGTGGTCTAATTAGGCTTGGTGATTTTTTGAAGGCTCCTTTTTATATTGAATTCTGTTCAGTAGTGGCAGACATTATATAGAGATAATGTTCTTGAATACATGTAAATTATGTAGGTAAAAAATGTATGTTATATAATTTAGGTACTGTGCATAATATAAGGAATGACATCTACCAGGAATTTCTATAGTAAATATTACCATTATCTCTTATACCTTATTTAACATCTATATATATAAAAACCTAAGCGACTGAATGACCAGTCGCTATGACGTGCACTGACCACCAGGGGGCAGACACTCTAGCAGGAGCTGCCCCCTCATGGTCAGTACACTCCCACAGCCAACCTCGGCGGCTGGCCAATCTCCTGTGGTCCCTCGCCCCCAATGGCCATCTCCGATCGGCCCCTCCCCCCCAGCAGGCCAACCTCCCACGGTCCTTCCTCCCCGCCCCCTCTTGCTGGCCGGCCCTGATTGGCCCGATCGGGACTGGGTGAGACAGACCCTATTGCTGGCCAGGCCGAGGGATTCCAATTGTGCACAAATTCGTGCATCGGGCCTCTAGTGTATAAATATAAATGATAAATTAATATAACATATTCAATAAAAATTAGTGTTTTACCATAGCCCTGACCTCCTGCAATTTGATGACATATGGCGTATGTTACCAATCTTCCTTTCCAAGCATATTATGAAAAGAAAACAGCCACGGACTGGTCTAGATTGCTTTCTGTACTTACTGGAAAACGAAGAAGTAGTTTTCTTTTATAAAATATTTACTGCATAAATGGATCATTCACCTTGTTTATCTCTTTTTAAATGGGTTATCTATAATATAGGTATACCTACTCAGCTATAGGCTTAGTGATCAGAGATGCATAGATTTACACTGTACTTAGTAGAATCATGGAATTGTAGGGCTTGAAAGGACTGCAGATATCTTCCAGTTAAATATTCCATGAGTCCCAAAGTGTCTTAGGTAAACCTCTTTCAGGATTCCATGCTTAAGCTCAGCCAGTGACATTTACACCCACTTAGATAAGGATGTATGGATGTAGAGGATGTATATGCATGCCTGTCTGTCTAATAAGAGACAATTGGGGCCAGTAGGATTTTAGTAGAAATAATTGGTGAAAGGACATGAGAGTCTTTTATTATTTAGCAATGTTCTACCAGTGAAAGTTTTTAAACCAGGTTCAAGAAATCCTCACTTAAGACACTCAAAGCAAAAATATCGCAGATAAGAAATTGGAAAAGGAAGTAAGGTGTTTTTGTTTTTTAAAGTGTTCTAAAACCCACACATTGAGTGCATATTATAGCAATATAGATACAAGGGAATGATTTGGGGTGTGGTAGTTTAGAAATATGTACATTTTGCTCTAATTGTGCTGTGAGCCCTTACTGAATTTCAGCTAAATTATTTTGCACAAGGCTTTTTCATAAAGTACCAATAACTCTATCTGAAATCACAGGGTTTTTGTGATTATTAGACTAGTCTTCATGGTTGATTATATTATCCTTTTAAATTGCCTTTTAATTTTCAGCTGATGTAAGTGAAATAGATACTATAAATTAATTAATATTGGATCTGTTCCGTGTTTATGCTCTAGGAGATTTCAGGAGACAAGCAGATAGATAAGGTTCTTAACAAATGTGCCATTTGGGGCGGTGGCATTTTAATATTCATACCTTGCTTATTTGTTATTTTTAATAGGCTATCTATTATATTAATGTGCATGTAAGTAGCTATATGCCACGTCATCTAGGCCCTTATTGAGTTAAACTACATTTATCTCATCACCAATCACTCTTGCGGCATGTGGCTGTAATTTTCAGGTGGCCCTTTGCATGGTCCTTTGTTATTTATAGATCCTCTTTTATGAAGATCATTTTGTCCCAGCTAAATTTCTGTTACCTTTTTTTCTGCCTGAAGTTCTGCTTATCTTTTCGCTTCATTTCCCCCTCTAACAGGTTGAATTTAGATAGTCCCTTGGCTGCTAAATACTTTTCTCGTCTTGCTTTTGAGGTTGGTCTTGAAGGATGGAATAATTTTGTGGCCTGAGGTGTCTAGCTCTTTGTGTATAAAACAAAACCTGCAACTAAAATGTGTATTCTTGAAATGTCACTTTTGGAAATATCAATAACTTTTTTGATTTGCCTTCAGAATTGATTGGCATGTGATCTTTAGAGGCTTACAGCTTCTTGGTTCTACTTCCAGTTTACTAGTATTAAAAAAACTTAAATTTAAATACCATATCATCAAATGCCCACTGTTCTGTGAGGAAAACCACATGAATTTGGTTGTTATTTATGTTCTTCTTTCTCTTTATGGATTTTAGGGGTCTGTTGAATCTAAGTAAGACAACAGCATCACAGATAAATATGCAGAGGACTTACTTTAGATTAAGGTTGTATAAGTAATTATATCATTAAATGCATTTGGTTTATATTTATGTGCATTTTATGAATCTGGAGCAAAACACAGGACTGAGGAGAATAGCCTACTTGTCATCTGGAGTAGAGGTTTTAGGAAATGTATTTAGTGGTTACAAGGACTTACTCCATATACTGGCTATTTTCATTTAGGGAATGAAATAAACAGATTTCAATGCATTCCAGTAGTGCCGAACAACCCAGACTGCACTTGTTGTGTAGTTGAGCTAGAATCTACTAAAGAAGAGTGTATGCATCTTTCAGAATGGCACATATTTTAAAAATGATTCAGTTTTTTTGAGGAGTGGAGGAGAGGGGAGGATGGGGAAACTTTATTAGGGTCCATATTTAAGTTTGTATTCACTTTTGCTTTGTCTGTCCTAATCCAGCCACTTGTAAAATTAGAGAATTATTTTTAGGCCAGAAGTTTTCAACCTGTGCTTTTTTCTTTTGACAGCAGTGCTTGCTCTGAAATTACAGGAGAAGTGTTGTGTATATGTATATTCGTTTGAGGGAAGGGCCTATGGATTTCAGCAGATAACAGAAATCTCAGATTCCAGTCCCACCTGCTTCCCAACTTCTCACGGGGTTAAGAACACTGTTCTAGATGTTTCTTCCATTTGAAAACCAGGTAGCTTGGATGAAAGCTGCAGTCTAAAGATCTAGAGAGATTACTGACATATATAGTTCGTTCTCAGAAAACCTACATGTATTAACAATACCAGTCTTCAGTAGATAATAATCTTATGCTAGACATACCCTCAAAGTTTTGTCTCACTTGCATGCATTATTTTCATTTATTTTCTTCATCTCTTTTATAATTTGTTATAATTTAATCTTATTTACCTCTTCTTCATGTATTTGTAAATGTCTTTATATCAAGCTATTTATCTCTTCTAAATAATAAATAGGAATTTTGAAACTATGGTCTGTCTCTTTAGAATTCTCATGCCAAGTGTGACATTTTATAAATAGTGAATACTTAATAAATGTCACAAACTGACTGACTCATTCTGGAAGTGGTAGTCTATGGAAACTTCCCATGGAGATTTGCTTTCTTGCTGTTAATTGTTTCTATCTCTTATTACTAACCAATTGGGATGGATTGCAGAATGTACTGTTTTTGTGTGATTCTTACTTACTATGTAAATATAATTTAATTACAAATATAATTGAAAAATCTCTATTTAAAAAAAAAGATTTTAAAATTGATTTTTAGAGATAGAGGAAGGAGAGGGGGAGAGAGAAACATCAATGTGAGAGCAAAACTTCCATTGGCTGCCTACTGCATATCCCCTACCAGGGATCCAGTCTGCAACCTGGGCATATGCCTTGACTGGGAAAGGAAAGGAACCTTTCAGTGCATGGGACAATGCTCAACCAACTGAGCCACACCAGCCAGGGCTTCTCTGATTTCTTTAAGGGAGCAATCAAAGCAGGGAAGCCATGTACCAGACCCACTGTGTTTTTTGTAATGGAGCCTGTGTTTATTTTTTTACAGTGAGGGAGATAAACCTACAGGACATCAAAGAGGATTTGGACTTGGATCCAGAGGAGAACAGCACCCTTTTTATGGGCATCCTCATCAAGGGGCTTGCCAAACTGAAGAAGATCCCAGAGACAGTGAAGGCCATCAAAGAACGCTTGGAGCAGGAGCTCCAACAGATCGTGAAGAGGTCTACAACCCAGGTGGCGGACAGTAGCTATCAGAGGGGAGAGAACCTCACTGCGGACAACCAACCAAGGTAGATCGGGTGCAATTCATGTGTTTGATAGCTATTATACCTTTCCTAGGGTGGGAGGTAAGTAATTATCTTCTGTTGATATTATTTCTTGAACTTGGGATACTATAAAACATACAAACTCAATTGGTGAAAACAGCTTGAATAGGTATAATTCAGCTGGCTTTTTTTTCCCCTTTTTCTTTTTTTCCCCCAGCTGGCTTTTGACATAGTTGCGAAGTTTCAACGCATTTTGTTCAGATGCAAATGAAAAAATGAAGCAATTATTGGATATTTACTAAGTATTAAGCAGAATTCAAGGCAATTTGTATATATTATGTCATTAAGTATCACTACAACTTTATGAACTACTTATTAGCCATAATTTACAGTTAGGGAAATGGGCCTCAGAGATTAAGTAATTAGTCAAGGTCACAGAGCAAGTGACTGATCTTGGGGTTGAATGCAAGGCCATGGTCCTTCTTCCATGTTTTGTCCTTTAATATGTGGATATTTGTCAGTAGGCAAATCAGTCTCAGGAATTATTGTATCTATTTAAAACAACTAATTGGGTTTGGATTTCATACTTCTTGTTTCATAAGGGGAAAACTGAAACTGTGCTTTGATCCAAACTCTGTCTTGACTGTCAGGCACTGAGAGAGCACGTCTGCCAAACCAGAGTCTAGGGCACAACAGACTAATGCCATCTGATGGTGGGACAAGAGCTGAGAAATGGAGGCTTTCCTAGAAAATCCAGGATCCACTCTGCAAAGATCTCTGTTCTCCTCCTCCTCTGCTTTTACCCCGAACTCTCCACATACACCAGACATAGACAAGGCAGGAATTTGGATGGGGGCGGGGGGGGGGGTGGGGAAACTACACTTTCATCTGAGAGCACAGGGCACAGTAAGGCATGTCTTCTGAGTTCAAATAATGTGAGTTTCTGGGAAGGCATCATAATCTTATTGACATGCTGTTAAGGAAATTCTGCTGTTTGTTAGGGCTTAAATTTTTTTTCTTTAAAGAAGATAAATTTTAAAGGAAATAATAATAGCTCACTTAGTATAGAATTTCCCAGACTTACTTTAAATTTTTTTGGAAAAATAATGTATGCTGTTTTTTATATTCTTTTATGTATCTAAATAACATTAATTTTAATTATACTTTAAAATTTCAACATTAATTCCCTTGTAAACTTCATTCAAAAGTACAGTTGTTGAAGAAACCTTCCTTCACCCCTCGCCTGCCACAGAATATTTCAGAGCACATGTTGTGATGAGCATGGGTTTGGGAGTTGAGCAGCCCTGACTGAGGAAATAACACCTGCTTTATAGGGTTGCTGGCATTAGATGAGGATATATGGTTAGACTTTAGGAGGGTAGTGCCGGTAACTGTATTGGTGTATATTAATATACACATTTATTTATTCTTGTTTCTTTCCTCAACTTCATGTTCTTTGATCACTCACAGTATGACCCACAGAAGCTGGAACTGGTTCTGAATTGAATTTTTCTTTGTTGCCTGGTGCCTGGATTTCCTTGATGACCTTTTGCCTCCTTATTAATGAGCACTCCAGAATTCCGGCTCTCTATATGTCCTGCTGCTGCAAGTTCCTAGATGAATACGCTGAACTTTCATAGGGAAATAACATGACTGTAGTATATATTGGAAGTAAAACGAAAGGGCACGGATCAATAACTTTTCTGCAGATCTCATTACAGTGCCCTTAAAAGCAATGTGTCTTTCAAAGGATTTTGACCTCTTCCTCTTCTGTGCCCTAAGCCCCTTGCAGAATTCATGAGTGGAAATTGCAGCAGTAGAGGTAGAAATTCAGCATACTGCCCTGGAGATAATAAATGTTTCTCTATGGGGAATGAGTCAGCAAAAGGTTTTTTTCTTCTCTAAGTTTTGTTTTTGTCAATATTTTGAAGGCTTTTGTAGGCAGGATATATTGGACAGTAGCAAGTGAACAACCAAACTATCTAAAACATGATCTCATTTTATAAAATGTACAAATCTGAAATTTTGGGCCCAAACACTTTGAGGTAAAATAGTACAGAGAAAGCAAATATTGGGGGTGAACAACTTAAAAAAAGGAAATTAAATTTACTGGGGTGACATTGGTTGATAAAATGATATAGGTTTCAAGTGTTCAGTTCTTTTAGAAAACGTATTTTTATTGATTTCAGAGAGGAAGGGAGAGGGAGAGAAAGAAATATCAATGATGAGAGAGAATCATTGATCAGCTGTCTCCTGCACACCCACAAGGGGGATCGAGCCCATAAACTGGGCATGTGCCCTGACTGGGTATTGAACTGTGACCTCCTGGTTCACAGGTTGGTGCTCAACCACGAGCCGTGCAGCTGGGCTCAAGTGTTCAGTTCTGTAACACGTCATCTGTAACACATTGCATTGTGTTTACCACCCAAACTCAAATCTCCTTCCTTCGCCATATACATTTGACTCCTTTACCCTGTACTACCTGCTCCCCAACCCCACTTCCTTTCCCTCTGGTGGTGAACCACTTTTGAAGATTAAAGATTAAATTCTTGGGCTGGCACTCCAAATGACTGATGGTTTTGAGCTTGTCTGTGTGCTATCAAATGCTTTATAATGTCTCAAGAATTACCTTGGAAACATCATTGAAAAGTCATGATTTGCATTGCTGCTTCTTAGAGGTTTAGAAAGGATAGTGTCAGATTATCCCTTAAAGCTTGCATGGTACTTCGTGTTCATTGAATTTTACTGGGAGGTGTTAGTGGCATTTATTTTAGAGAGCAGTAAAGCCACAATATTTTGCATATTTTTTTTTTTTACCATTACATACAAGGACTCTTATGCCAAAGGTATAAGAATCTGTTTATAGAAAATTGAAGCATAGCCAAAAAGAGCCATGATTCTTCCTTCTCTAACATGCATATTTTTCCCCTCATCCCCCCTCCCAAGTGGGAAAAAAAAAGACTATTAGAAATCATTAGCATATAAATGCTACTCTGAGGCAAGATACCATTTCTGTAACTTTTTCTGAAAGTTTCATTGTTTAATATCATCCTATTAAATATATTCTGGTTGTGATGCATTGCAGGCTTGTTTTCATTTGTTTTTATGTAGAGAATTAATGTTGTATGCTATTTTGCTAGAAAAGTAGAAGGAACCAAGCTAGAATTCTGTCTTTTTTTTCACTTCCTACAGAGCCAATATACATTCACAGCCAGTTTTTAAAAATCACTTCAATGATCTACTTATTATTTTATTTTATTTTTGACCCCAAGCTATCTAAACTAAAATTTCCCAAAATATCTGCTGTCTCTTTATAGGAGAAATATTTTGTCATTCATAATCTATCTAGTGTCTATAAACCTACACTTACTATTAAAGGAAAATATTCAACTACTTTTGTTGCCAACTTGATAAACATTAGGGGACCATGTGCTTTGCCAATCTCCCAGTACCACCAGCTACCCATTATGTCCTCAGAAAGGCAGGCAGTGTCTTCAATTTCAGGTCTCCAACTCCTGCTGCCTAATCATTGGTTCTTTCCCCAAATCTAGCTCATGAGCATTTTCATGTCATTTTTGTTTTAAAGAAGCTAGAACAGCCGTGGTCAAACTACAGCGCGCCGCGGGCCGGATCCGGCCCGTTTGAAATGAATAAAACTAAAAAAAAAAAGACCGTACCCTTTTATGTAATGATGTTTACTTTGAATTTATATTAGTTCACACAAACACTCCATCCATGCTTTTGTTCCGGCCCTCTAGTCCAGTTTAAGAACCCATTGTGGCCCTCGAGTCAAAAAGTTTGCCCACCGCTGAGCTAGAAGCAGGTCTCTAGTAAGAAAAGCATGAAGAAAAGACAGAATAAATAAAATCTCCTCAAAGGTGCGATATCTTGTCAAGAATATGAAAGAGAAAAGAATGTGGGAAAAGAATGATTGGCATGTGTGAGGCTACTACATCATCTATTTGAAAATGGTCCTGTTTAAACGTCAAGACAAAATTCATTGCAGGGGTTGGTGCTGGAGGCCTTTTCCACTTTGGCAAAAACTGTTGTTCTTGAAGAAGGCAAAAAGGGTTGAATGAGTTGGAGCCATGGCTGTTAGATCTTTTTCCTTTTCAGAAGGAAACCATTTTTGCAGTGTTCCTTGATCTCTGTTATGAATGAAAGGTTTTGTCTGATAAAAAAGTAGAGAACGTTGCATGTTCTATGCTCACTGTCATATTGAAGGAAGGTTCATGGAAAACAAGGAAAGAAATATACTTTAATGCTAAAAATAGTTGTGTTTAGATAATAAGGTCGTATGTTTTATTTTCTGCTCTATTTTGCAGCTGTTAAGTTATAGTGGAAAATAAATTCCTTATTCAAGAATTAATTTGAACTATTATTCAAGTTATTTTAATTAGAAGAAGGCACTAAAAATGAAAATGTGCCCTGGCTGGGTGGCTCAGTTGGTTGGAGTGTTGTCCTGTGCACCAAAAGGTTGCAGGTCAGGGCATATATCTAGGTTGTGGGTTTGATCCCCAGTTGGGTGATTATGAGAGGCAACCAGTCGATGTTACTTTTTCACATCAATGTTTCTCCCTTTCTCTCTCTCAAATCAATAAACATATCCTCAGGTGAGGATTAAAAATTAATAAAAATAATATAAAAATAATAAATTTTTATTAATAAAATGAATAATAAAAATAATAATAAAAGAGAAAAAGCCTATTGTGGTATTAGTATGGAAAAATGTAATATCTATTTGCAGAGCATTACATTACTTTTTATGATTTTCTGACTGCTCCTAGAATGGAAGCTTCAAGAGAAGAGAGAAGTAGTTTGCCTTGTTCAGCACCATGTTTCCAGAATGTAGCCCACCTGACCCATAATAAATATTTGTTGCATGAAAGAATGACTTTCACATATATTGAATATGGATCAAAAATTGTATCAAACATAAGATCTCTGCCCTTATTGAGTTTAAAGTCTAGAAGAGGAAAAAAGGCATTAATCAGTGAACTCTGAGATAAGTTTATTAGTAAAAA